CCTCATGGTGGCAGGGAGGCCTGCCCTGAGATGGGCCTGCTACCCCTGCCACAGCAACAGTGGTAGCAAGTGAATAAAGAGGGTCAATACCTGTGGAGAGCTCGCTGTGTGCCAGGTACAACTGCCTGAGGTCTGGTGCTCCATTTAATCCTGATAACAGCCCATTGCACAGATGAGGAAGCTGAGGTCCAGGAAGAAGTGATCCACTCAAGGTTCTACATCCCACACATAACAGAGCCAGGATATGAGCTAGGCCCTGTTGTGCCATACCTGCCAGGGCAGATCTTTACTCTGCCACCCCTTAGCTATGTAACCTTGGCCTAGCTCTCTCAGCCTTGGTCTCCTCGTAGATAAGAAGAGGAAGCCAGGCTCCCCCTGAGGACTATCCTCTAGCTGGCTGTGAGGACTTGTCACAAGCAAGGGCTCAGGGCAACTCGGGCCCTCCCTCCCTCTTTTCCTTTCCTTCATTCTTCCCTGCCTCTTGCTTCCCCCTGGCCTCCATCAGGCGAGTGAAGCTCAGAGCGGACTAGTGCAGGGGGCCACAGCTGAAAGAGGATTGAATTCTACTATTTTAATAGCTCCATGCCTCAATTTCCCCATCTGCAAATGAAGATTAAGCACATGTAATGCTCTAGAGCAATATCTGGCACACAGCAGGCACTCAGTAAATGCTAGCTAGTGCTAGCCCTATCATTATTATTATTAGTGCTAGCCCTTATTAGCATCAACTCCACTTTACATTAAAGTGTTGTGGTAAAGAGTGTGTTCCCTGGATGGGTACTCTGGGTGCAAATCCTGGCTGCACATTTCCTGATCTGAATGTATCAGTCTGGGTTCTCCAGAAAGATAGGCCCAATAGGATGAACAGATGGATAGACAGATGAGAAGAAATTTACTAGGGGAAATTGGCTTACACGTTACGGAGGCTGAGAAGTCCCACAATAGGCCATCTACAAGCTAGAGAACAGGGAAGCCAGTAGCGTGGGTCAGTCCACGTGCAAAGACCTGAAACCAGAGGGCCACAGTGCAAATCCCAGAGCTTGAGTTTGGAGAACCTGGAGTTCTGATGTCCAAGAGTAGATGAAGGGTGTCCCCAGCTCCAGGAGAGAGAGAGAGACAGATCACTTCTCCTCTGCCTTTTTGCTCTCTCCAGGCCCTCAGCTGATTGGATGATGCCTGCCCACTTGGATGAGGGCGGATCTTCTCACTCAGACACTGATTCCAATGCAGGTCTCTTCCAGAAACACCCTCACAGACACACCCAAAAATAATACTTTGCCAGCTGCCTAGGCATCCCTTAATCCAGTCTAGCTGACAACTGATATTAACCATCACACTGAGCAACCTTTGGCAGGTTACTCTGGGGCTTCATAACTCAGTTTCCTCATTTGCAAAACAGGGTAATAATAATTCCCATCTCTCATGGCTGCTGACCTACTCGAAGTGCTTTGCCTGGTGTGGAGGGTAGAGTCAGTCCTCAGAGCCTGTTGCCCGTTGTCATTACTCTTATAACCTTAAACATAAGAGTGCAGGGGTACCTGCCTTGTGATATACTGGGCTTCCATCCTACTGCCTTCCTTATTCCCAGAAGCACCTGGACAAGCTCTGTCCCAGCCCTGTCCCTGAACCTCTGGGTTCTCAGCTACAATGTGAGGGTGACAACAGGACCTGCCTTGTAAGATTGTGGTGAGGATTGGATGAGACATGTGAACAGTACGTGCTCAATAAATGCCAGCTGTTATTATTAACAGTCAAAGGTTTTCAGGGCCAAGAGAGCCCTTACCACCTCTGGCAAGAGAAATCCAATGGGCCTGATGCTCCTCTAAAGGGCTGAGGGAGGCTAAGATCCTATGGAGCTTGCCCAGAGGGAGTGCCAGGTGCCGGCCACATCCCTTTCAGACTGAGAGATCCAGGCTGTGCAGTGATGAGAGGCACTGACTGCCCTTCTGGAAGGACATGGCATTTGTCCAGAGTTGAACCTCCTGGATGCCCCTAGGGCAGGGGTATTGAGGCCAGTTTGAAGGAGAAAAGGGCAAAGCAGGATGGTCTGGCCATGTGGGACTAGGGGGCTCTCATGCATCTTCTCGGCCCCCTCTCCTTGACCCTGCCCACCATCTTCCTGAGCTCACCCCTATGTGGTCTAGTCCGCAGTTGGAGTGTGGAGTGGCTGGAGGATGCTAGGTGCTGGACACTCACCATCTCATCTAATCCTTAAGACAGGGCATACCATCCTCGTTTCACAGGAAGTCCCCAGAAGCCATATAAATTGCTCACAGTCACACAGCAGTTTGGTGGTGAAAGAGGGACTCTAAGGATGAAGCTTTCTGCTATACAGGCTTACCTCACTCGGGAGCCAGGGAGACCTGTTACCTGCCAACACCAAGGGTGTAGCCCAGCAAGTCTTACCTGCCCTGGCCTGGCCTCTTTGTCTGGACTAGATGGAGAGTGGCCAGTGGGCATTCTACCCTTACATTCCAGGTCTTAGCTGCATTGTCCCTTCCATCCTGGCTCTTAGCTCTGTCAACTCTCCCCTGACACAGGCTGGAGGGTTTTTTAAAAATATGAATTTGGGCACATAAGGAAAAATTAAAAGGTCACAAAGTGACTCCTGGTGAAAAATCTCACTCACACCCTGTTCCCCCCCCTCCCCCCCAGCCATCCAGAACCAGGCAATCACTATTACCAGCTTCTTTTGTGGTCTTCCAAAAATATTTCTTGCTTATATATTTTTCCCCAGCCACATTGTTCTTCACCTGGCTTAATTTTGCTTTAGTGGCATGGTTTGGGAAAGGTTCCATTCAAGACCAGAGCTTCCATTGCAAGTGTGTACGATTCATCGAACTAGTCCCCTTTGGATGTGTATTTGGGTTGTAGCCAGCCTTTTGCGTTTACAAACGATATTGCCATCAATAACCTTGTACATCTTTAGCTTGCCCAACTGGCTGGAAGGTAAATTTCTAGAAGTGTGTTGCTGGATAATTCTATCAATTACTTGCTACACTCTTATCAGGTTACCTCCCTTCTGTCAGGGACAGATTCATAGCTGGGCTGGGGGAATGCCCCACCACCAGCTCCCAACAACGGTACATTATGGGGGATCCCAAAGAGCAGAGTTCTTTCTGTGTGACTTCAAGGGTTCTAGAAGGGACTGTGATCCCAGGGATACTTGCCTGAGTTGGTGAAAATGCTTCATTGAACATCCCTGCTTTTTATTTCTATGTGTCTAAATTTAAAATGTTCTGTATGAAGCAAGTACTGCTTTATATGTGAAAAGTGCCAAATTAAGAGAAAAATTCAAAGGCTCATTTCTTTGTCCCTTGAAATTCAGCCACCTTCCCTCTCACCCAAACCCAGTGTTCATGAGTTTATGGGAAGGTTTGTCTGAGGGTTTTTTTGTTTTTTTTTTTTTTTTGCAGTTTTTGGCCAGGGCTGGGTTTGAACCCACCACCTCCGGTATATGGGGCTGGTGCCCTACTCCTTTGAGCCACAGGCACCGCTCTTGTCTGAGGTTTTGCTAAAAGGGAAGGAACAAAATATATTTAGGTACCTGAGAGGTGCAAGAAGGCAATGCTAGGTTATTCCTGGGAAAAGAGCAGCAGGCCCTGGACAGATGGGATAACTGAGGCCAGAAGAGGGGGCATCCTTTCCCAAGGATCTTCATGTATGTGTTGGTGCTCTCTGCTCTGAGCCTGAGAGCCAGCTGCTGGTAAGGGCAGGGGGTTCCCTGGACCTTTGGGTTGGGGTGAATCTTGCAAAGGGCAGCCCTTTCTGAGTGTCCTCATTGGTCAGGATTCACAGTCCCAGAGGCTGCAGTGCAGAGGCAGGGAGGCGTGCCCCCTGGCCAAGAACCAGGCAGAATCTGGCAGCTCTTAGTGGGGTCAGGCCTGGGCTTTCTAAAACCAGGCCCCTGGGCCTCTGAGTCCTGGCTCCTGACTATTGAGCCATTCCTGCCCGGGGTGGTAGTGAGGCCTGGCTAGGGTAAGGGAGGAGGGGAGTATCCCCACCTCCTGGCCCTGGGGCAGCACATGGCCTAGATTGGACAACTGTGATGCTTGCTGACAGATCCAGGGCAGACATAGCTGCCCCAGACTCTCACACAGATCACTGTGGTCTGACCTGTGGTCCAGGAAGCTGCACATCCAAGGCTTTTGGGAGATTCGTAAGCAGCTAATAGGGGCTTTTGAGGCTCAGAAGGAGGACAGCCAGCAGGGCATCTATAGGGGCTATAGGCTCAGATAACTGAGGAGGAGCTGAGCCTGGGCCAGAGGTGGGAGGGGGGTTGCTGCCAGCTTCCTGGGGAACTTGGGGTCCACGCTGTAGTTGGGGGCTGGGAAGAAGCTCTAGGGGCCGAGACCAGGGCCTTTGCATTGATTTGGGACTGGGGATGAGGGAATGTGGGGAGGGTCTTTGGGGCTTGGTTCAAGGATCCAGCTGGGGCAGGGTGGATAGTGCTGAGGGGAAAGTAGGTGAAAGGGGCACACAGGCCCCAGCAGCTGCCCCCCACCCCCAGGGCCCAGAGTCAAGAAACCAGCAAGGTTCCTCAAGTTCCAGTGGCTCTACAGGGTGCCAGGCCACAGGGGACATGACATGCAGGACATGCACAAAGGTGAGCCTAGAAGGCTGGCTATGAGGAGCTGTGTGTGTCCAAAAGCCAAGCACGGATCTCTGTAATGCACATACACAGTTATATAGCCCTAATTTTAAACTCCCCAGGTCCAGGAGCACATAAACAGTTAGAGGACCATGGACTCTGGAGATTGGGGCTAGCTTCTGAGAGGAGGTGCTCACCCCATAACTTGGTGATGAATTTGGGGGAGGGGAAGGAAGCGGTGTGAAGGGGAGAAGAGGTGGGCACAGAGGTGCTACCGTGTGAGCTGGGCTCTGGACAGGTAGCCTCCACTCATGGAGCCCTCATCGCCACATCAGGTTGGGGATCCAGGCCTGGGATGGGATGTGGAGGCACTTCCCTGTCTCCAAGGATCTCTTTCCTGCCCTCCCAGTGCATGAGCAGCTGAGCCTGCTAATTGCCGCGCCACGCCTGTCCAACCCTGCACAGCTGCGCCATGTCCGGCTCCTACGATGAAGCCTCACTGGCTCCAGAGGAGACCACCGACAGCTTCTGGGAGGTGAGGCCTGATGCTCCCTGGGCCCAGGTCCCTCCATCCCACCATCCCACCATGCCCCCACTTGCCCATGGCTTTAGGCCTCATCCCCCAGCTCCTGGGCACCTCCTAAGTCTTCAGTATCCCATAAAGTATTCTGGAGGGCCCTGGCTCAGGCTTCAGCACACATAAGCAGGTGCAGCACTTTACAGTTTACAGTCTTTCATAGCTGTTCCCACCACCATCCCCTCCCCCTGTGAGGTGGGCAGGGCTGGAGCACTGAACACAGAGGTAGAATGAGCTCCCAGAGCCCCAGGTATCCTATGGGTGGAGGCAAGACTAGAAGCCAGAATTTAGGGTGCCTCTGAAAATATTTGAGACCTGGGGGGAAAATTACTCTTGGCTCCTGAAACCCAAAATGGAAACTGCCAGACTTAAATTAATAAGTGTTTAATGAGATGTCTACAAAACATAATATTATGTCAAAAAGCTGCAGCTCAACTCAATGCTTACATGACTACATAAATATAATAGATTTAGCTCACAAGAACAAAATGAATAATTCATCCTAGCCCAAATCCAACCTATAAAAATCCTTCTGCATTTTGTGGCAGTGAGGTGGCTATGTTCAGAGTGGGATTAGGGTGCATATAGATGCTGGAGTCTGAAGCCGGGTGCTGGGCCTGCGAGTGTTGGAAGGTGGGAGCCCCCTCCCTAGTACCCCGTCCCCCACATGCCACCCTCCCCCCTTCCTGTGCTGCAGGTGGATGGGAGGCCGGGGAGCCCAGGAGCCTGCGGGAGTCTCACTTGTTGCTTGGCCACCAGGTGGGGAACTACAAGCGGTCGGTGAAGCGTATCGATGACGGGCACCGTCTCTGCAATGACCTGATGAACTGCGTGCAGGAGCGCGCCAAGATTGAGAAAGCCTACGCACAGCAACTCACTGACTGGGCCAAGCGCTGGCGCCAGCTCATCGAGAAAGGTACACCCCAGGCCCACCCTGTGCACACCCCCAGGTCCTAAGCCACCCCCACAAGCCCCAGTGCAGGAATGCACTTGCTCAGCATCTGCTGGCCCCAAGGCCTTTTCCAGACCAAACCAGGCCTCTCTGTTCAGCTCTATTTTTTTTTTTTTTTTTTTTTTTAGAGACAGAGTCTTACTTTGTCGCCCTGGTTAGAGTGTGGTGACGTCACAGCTCACAGCAATCTCCAGCTCTTAATCTTAGGCCATTCTCTTGCCTCAGCCTCCCAAGTAGCTGGGACCACAGATGCCCACCGCAACTCCTGGCTATTTTTTGTTGCAGTTTGGTTGGGGCCAGGTTTGAACTCACCACCCTCAGTATATGGGGCTGGTGCCCTACTCAGAGACACAGGCGCCACCCCTGTTCAGCTATATTTTATACACCTTTAGGTTAGATTTAAAAAGCAAGGGAGTCTGAGTGGCTCATGCCTGTAATCCTAGCACTCTGGGAGGATGAGGCAGGTGTATTGCCTGAGTTCAGGAGTTCGAGACCACCCGGAGCAAGAGTGAGACCTATGTCTACTAAAAACAGAAAAAAACCATCTAGGCTTTTTGCTGGTGCCGTAGTCCCAGGCACTCAGAAGCCTCAGACGAGAGGATCCCTTGAGCCCAAGTGTTTGAGATTGCTGTGAGCTATGACGCCATAGCACTCTACTGGGGCAAGAAAGAGAGATTCTGTCTCAAAAGAAAAAGAAAACATAAAATAAAAAAGCAGAAAACTGAGGCGGCGCCTGTGGCTCAGTGGGTAGGGCGCTGGCCCCATATAGTGAGGGTGGCAGGTTCAAACCCAGCGCCAGCCAAATTGCAACAACAACAACAACAACAGCCGAGTGTTGTGGTGGGCGCCTGTAGTCCCAGCTACTGGGGAGGCTAGGCAAGAGAATCGCCTAAGCCCAGGAGTTGGAAGTTGCTGTGAGCTATGATGCAACAGTACTCTACAGAGGGAGATAAAGTGAGATTCTGTCTGTATATTAAAAAAAAAAGCAGAAAAATTGTTTTATTTTGAAATAATTTAAACTTTGAGAAGGTTGCAACAGTAGTAGAGAGAAGTCCCACATGCCCTTCCCTGGATCCCCAATACCATGTTTGTTTTCTCAGTGCCTCTCCATGATATGCGCATTTTTCTGAACCATTTGAAAGTAAATTGGACCCATCATTCCTTTTCATCTCTACACTCTTCATAGATCTCCTAAGAATGAGAACATTTGCTTATGTAACTATAGTTTGGCTATGAAAATCAGGACATTTTATACATCCCGTATGCAAATTTTACTATAGTAAGTTGTTTGTGCTAGTTCAGGATTCAGTCCAGAGGCATATATTATGCCTAGCTGTTATGTCTCTAGATTCTTTTAATTTAGAACATTTCAAGTTGGGGTGTACATATATGTTAATGTTTCCTTGCACTAGACTCTAAAGCCCAGGAGGGGCATGCTGGGCCTGTACTACATAGCACAGTGCCTGGCACAAAATTGGTGCCAGTACCTAGACAACAAAGGAATGTGGAATGACTGATGCACAGTGGCCTCCTGGCACCTGTTGCCAGCTGGATGTTCAGTTTTACATTCAGCTAACATTCCTGGGGCACCTCCTGTGTGCCTGGCACTGTGCTGGGCTTGTGAGAGCTTACAGGAACCAGGCTGCTCCTGTGGGAGCTGACAGCGGAGGCAAGGAGAAGGTGCAGGGGCAGGTGCTTCAAGCAGAACCCAGTGAGGGCTGCAGGGTACAGTTTGTGAGGGTGGAGCAGCCAGAGAAGGCTTCCTGGAGATGGTGGTGGTGGCTAGAGGAGGGATAGATGGATGCAGAGAGCAGAGGAGGGCATTTCTGATGTCATGGGAAGGAAGGGGAATATCTCAGAGAAGGGAGGCAGGAGGGGGACCTCTAGGCAGGGGGTGATGGGGTCCCCGTGACCACTGCCATTTTCTCAGGCCCACAGTATGGCAGCCTGGAGCGGGCCTGGGGTGCCATAATGACTGAGGCGGACAAGGTAAGCGAACTGCACCAGGAGGTGAAGAACAGCCTGCTGAATGAGGACTTGGAGAAGGTCAAGAACTGGCAGAAGGATGCCTATCACAAGCAGATCATGGGCGGCTTCAAGGAGACCAAGGAGGCTGAAGATGGCTTCCGCAAGGCCCAGAAGCCTTGGGCCAAGAAGATGAAGGAGGTGCTCAGTGGGGGCTGCCACAGATGGGGAGGGAGTGGGTAGCCGAACTCAGAAGGCCAGTCTGGTCAGAGGGTGCTGATTGCAGGGAGGTGTCTACGGATATCATGGGCAGTACACTGCCCTCTGAGATTTTGCCTACGGGGAAGCAGCACTGCCTTCCAGGAAGATGGGCAGACAGTGCCCAATGGGTAAAGAGATCTGAGGGCTAAAAGAGGCACTGTCCCCAGGAAAGATGCCCAGGAAGACACATTGCCCTCTGAATCCACAGAGGGGCATATCTGGGAGTAGGCAGTGTCACACAGGGACACAGCACAGATGGAGCAGCACTGCTGCCAAGTACCTAGAGCCCCTTCTGCCTCTTGAGAACAAGCTCGTACAGCTCCTGGGGAGTGGGCAGGGGGGAGGAGCTGATGAGCAACTGTGTTTGTTCCTGCTCACCTGTGGGAGCCTCTCCCCACAGCTGGAGGCAGCCAAGAAGGCCTACCATTTGGCCTGCAAAGAGGAGAAGCTGGCCATGACACGAGAGATGAACAGCAAATCAGAGCAGTCAGTGACACCTGAGCAACAAAAGAAGCTGCAGGACAAAGTGGACAAGTGCAAACAGGATGTACAGAAGGTGGGACCAGGCTAGGGGTGGGGGCAGGGGGTTCTGAGAGCCCGCTGGAGTGGTTGGTGGCTGGGACCTGCAGACCTGGCTAGATCCTATCCACCCTCCACCCTGGTGCTCCAGACACAGGAGAAGTATGAGAAGGTGCTGGAAGATGTGGGCAAGACCACACCCCAGTACATGGAGGGCATGGAGCAGGTGTTTGAACAGTGCCAACAATTTGAGGAAAAGCGGCTGGTCTTCCTCAAAGAGGTGCTGCTGGACATCAAACGTCACCTCAATCTAGCCGAGAATAGCAGGTACCTGGGCATGGCGGGCACGGAGGGCACAGCACAGCCAGCAGAAAGTGTAACTGGTGCAGGGCATCCCAGGCCCTACCTCACATTGCCGGAAAAGGAGGCCAGAGCTACAGGGGACAAGGGGGAAGAGGCTCAAACACAGGGGCTGCCTGACACATACAAGGGACTTCAGAAACATGTGCTTGGGTGGATGGATGCATGGCTAAGGTTGGAAGGAGAAAGGAGTCACCTGGAGCCTGGAGCTGTGCCCTGCAAAGCCCATCTGATCCCTGGCTGGAGGGCATGGCCAGCACCCTGGTGCCCTAATAGGTCTGCCCCCTCACTGAGGATGAAGAGGGGCCATGGTGAATCTGTCTCCTTCACTTTCCCATCTCCTCCATAGCTACATCCATGTGTACCGTGAGCTGGAGCAGGCCATCCGGGGGGCCGATGCCCAGGAGGACCTCAGATGGTTCCGCAGCACCAGTGGCCCTGGCATGCCCATGAACTGGCCTCAGTTTGAGGTGAGGATGTATTGGGATGGAGAGCCTGAAAAGGCTAGAAGGGTTCTTAGGTTACAACCCCCAAACCTGACTGCTCCCCTGGCCCCTAGCAGGAGTGGAACCCAGACCTCCCTCACACCACCACCAAGAAGGAGAAACAGCCCAAGAAGACAGAGGGAGTGACACTGACCAATGCCACTGGGGCCGTAGAGTCCACATCCCAGGCTGGGGACCGTGGCAGGTGAGTACTCCCACTGAGCTTCTTGGGGCCAAAGGAAGTTCACACCCTGGGGCAGCTGAGTTTTGCCTCAAGAGACAAGACATGGCCTAGATCACAACAACCATGTCTCCTTTAAAAGCTAGTGGTAGCTGATCCTTCTAAAGCACCTACTGTGTATGGCACTATTTTGTATTTTCCATATACTGTATTAACTTGCTCAAGCCTTCCATTACTCTAGGCAAATACTCCCTATTTTACAGGTGAAGAAACTGAAACCCAGAGAGTATGTGACTTCCTCAAAGTCACGTAGTTAGGAAACCTCAGCGCACTATATGATGCCCAGGAATCTGACTCCAGGATACTAGCTCTTAACTGTTAGGTGGTACTTCCTCTCAGGGAAACAGAGTATTCTCCAAGGTCCCCTTCAGTGCCCACTCTCTCAAGAGCTGAATAATAATGCGAATGGTCCTACCTCACATCTGTTTAAAGAGGCGTCGTGAGGTTTACTGTCTCATGACCTCTTCCTAAGCGGCCAATCCCTGCTCCAGCCTCGGTAGAACTTGGGTCAGAGCTCTAGTTAAAAGGGGTTAGCCCTAGGGACAAGGCGGTTGGGATGGGGTAAGGATTACAAGCTGGGTCCTCCCTCTGCGTCTCAGTGTTAGCAGCTACGACAGAGGCCAGCCCTACGCCACCGAGTGGTCAGACGACGAGAGCGGGAACCCCTTTGGAGGTAGTGAGGCCAATGGGGGCGCCAACCCCTTCGAGGACGACGCCAAAGGAGTGCGCGTGCGGGCGCTCTACGACTACGACGGCCAGGAGCAGGACGAACTCAGCTTCAAGGCCGGTAAGGAGCGGGCGGATGAGGCAAAGGGAGGGCACCAGGGGAAAGGTTCTGGCCTGGATTGGGTGTGGATGAGGGCAGGACCTGAGGACAGGGAATGCTGCTGGGAATGAGTGATGGGGCGGAGCCTGGGGGTGGGCATGCTCACCTCTGGTCTCTGGTGCCAGGGGCGGAGTCAGGACCTGAGACTAGCGTAGGGGTGGGGCCTGAGCTTCAGAGAGTGTCCAGGACCACCAAGAAGTGAATCTGTACACCAGGATCTCTGTGCCAGAGGCATACGTGGATGTTGGAATGGGACTGGGGCTGGTCTCCATGGGTGGGTCCCGTGGCCAATGTCTAAGCCCAACTAAAGGAGCATTTGGGCACTAACGGGGAAGGAGGCCTTGGAGGTCTCATCTAGCAGGGAGTGTGTTGAGGGAGGGGAGGCCCTCTCTGAGCCTCTCCCTGTGTCTCCCTTACAGGAGACGAGCTCACCAAGCTGGGTGAGGAGGATGAACAGGGCTGGTGCCGCGGGCGACTGGACAGCGGGCAGCTGGGCCTCTACCCCGCCAACTACGTGGAGGCCATCTAGCTGCCCGGTTCCCTCCATATCCCTTCACTCTTTGCCCACCACCTCCCCCTTCCCACTCTCGTCTCCTTCCCCTCGCCATAGAGTTCCAGACATATTTTCCGATCAAGCTTTTATTTTTTTAAAAGTCAAAACAGAACAAAACAAAAAATACAGAGACAGAGCATTTGCAGGGCCACCTGGAGACCAGGGTGGTAGGGCTTGGGATGATGGCACCAGGGTAGGTAGGGGTTTTGGACTTAGCCCAGCATCACAACATCTGCTCTTCAGGTTCCACCAAAGAGTCTTTTGAGCCTTGAGGGATGTCTCCTGGATCCTCTACCCTGCCTTACCCTCCTCCCACTCCAGGCTGCCAGTACCTATCCCTGCTCCCTGGGCCTGGTTTCCTAATCTCTGCTTCCTCTCTACACTGATCCCTCTTTCACCATGACCCTACTCTCAAGCCTCCCCTGCAGGCGCTGAGAAGGGAACCCTCCCAATCTTTAGTCTTCCACTCTGCCTAGGGAGTGTCCTAGCCCCATCCCAGGGGACTGGTGGGGCTGGAGGAGGAATGGTCACTCTCCTCCTTCCAAAGAGGTTTCCAGGAATCCCTAGACTCCCCTGGCATGAAAGGGTGAGCTGGAGGAACTGACAGTGTTACTGTGATACAGGAGGGTGAATGAAACAGGCCCTTAGCCAAGTCTATGCCAGTTCTCTCAGTTCCAGGCCCATCTGAGGGACCAAGACCCTTTTTTCCAGCTGCCCACACATTAGACAAAGGCCCTTCCTCAGAGCTGTACCCCCTCAGTAACTTCCAGAGACCCTCCCCTTGGCACAAGTCCTGTGGCAGGGGGTGGGGACCCCAAAACCCACAGCACAGCCAGCAGCAGTAGCAGCCTCCTCCCATTTCCTGGGGAGGATGGCATCTTGCCCACCTGCCCTCCTTCCCTCCCTGTCCATCTGAAACCACAGAATCACTGGGCTCAATATTAGCCTCCTTGAGACCAAGCCTCATATCTGCAAGGCTCTTGGCCTAACCATCCCTCTCTTCCCTACCCTGGCCTGCCTGGGGAGATGGGGGAAGCCCATCAGAGCTTCTAGCCTGGGGCCATCAGAGGAAAGCCTACAGTGGAATTTGGCAGGAAGAGGGAGCCCTGGCCCTCAGAAGCAGCCCCCAGAACAACATTCTCCTTGCTGGAAACCTATCTCCAAGCCTTGGTCATAGTTAAAGGAATTTGGGGGGCGGGTTGGGACAAAGGGCCCATCCTCTGGTTCGTGAAAACTGTAGTATACAGTGCCAGGTACCAGCTTCTCCCACAGGACTAGGGTGGGGAGCTTAGAAAGCAGATCAGGGCCAGACAAAACCCCCAGAGGTGGGAGATTTCTGGGAGAGATATCTCTTGGAGACCTCTAGGACAAGGAGCTGAGAAGTCCTCCCATACCAAGTGAAAGTTGTTATGGAGGATGATACCTCTAGGCCTCTGGACTGCAGACACCTTTCTCCCTTCTATATCACCTGGCCTTCAGGTAGAGAACATACTAGCCTAGCCCTTCTGTCACTCCTCAGCCTCCTTCACTTCCAGCTGCTTCTCCCAGCAGCCCACTGTTAGGAAGAGGTAGATCCCAGCCTCAAGGCTCTGACCTTCATGTGGGCACAGAGGATCCTGACAGACTCTGGCAGGGGCCCAGACTGGGGTAGGGGTGATGGTGATGGTACCCCAGGGGTAGGAAACCTCATCCTCAGCACCTCTGTCCTCATCAATGCCTGGTCTCTGGGCTTTGTCTGCAGCATGAGATGTGCCCTGGGCTCCTCAGAGCCTGAAGCAAGATTTTGAAAGCCTCTAGTCCTCCCAACTCCAAAACAAAAGCCTTTTCTATTCTGTAGACCAGGAATTGGGGTTGGGGGCCCTGCCCTTCACTGCTTACCCCCTAAAAGGCAAGAAGTGGGCACATCTGCAGCTTGGGGCCTGGGCTGTGTCAGAGGCTTCCCAGCACTGGGAAGGGGCTGTGGCCCTGACTGATCTCTGGCCTGTCCCTTTTAGCACTCTAGCTGCCCACGCCAGCACAGGGACTCAAACCCCCATTTCTTCTGAGCAACCACCTCCATGACCATTTAGGACCACTCTCTCTCAGTCCCCAGATTCCTCAGGACCCCAGAGCAGGAGGATCTCCCACCTGGAAGTCCCCCTGAGCTCTGGGAGCCCAGCCCCACCTGCCAGTGCTGGTGTCAGGGCACTCAATACCAAGTGTGGGGCCGTGCCCCTCACTGTGCCCACAGCCTCCTCCTGTAGCCCCCGCCCGCACCCTCAATGCTGCACGGGCCCGTCCTGGTGGGGCTCGGCGATAATGTGTTTTGTCCCCAGTTAACCACCATTCTGTGGCCTGGTTCTGCGAGGATCCAGGGCCACCCTGCCACCTGCCACCCTAGGCTTCCTGACTCCATTAGTTCTGACACTTGTGAAATTCCAAAAAGTGCTGTGGTCTCAGCAATGCACCTGTTTTGTACATGATTGTGTAATTTAAAGGTATATAAATACAAATATATATATATATAAGTTGTGATTGTATGACTGTGGATAAAATCCAGAACTGTGTCAACCAGGCTGGACGTTGTCATCTTTAATCTTGTGTGTCTTCAGTCCTGAGGGTCTCCAAGCCCTCTGAGAACCATTTGTGGTTGGGATGTCTGTTGGGAAGGTGGTGCCTGAACAAAGCTGGATACTCTTCCTGGCTCATCAGCCACAGTCTGGTCATGTAGAGGCTGGTGCCCTCACCTGGCAGGGTCCCAGGTCCTGTCTATACTGGGAAGGATTATACTGGAGACTCCTGGGGCTCTGGCCCTCTGGGGTTCTGGGCGCATGGTGACAAGCCCTAAATAGGAGAGCCAGGGTATTCAGGGTCCCAAACTTATGGTTCAAGGGTGAATGTGGCCCCCAAATAGGTTTCGATTTTTAAAATACAGTTTCAAAAGTGACTGCTGAGGCCTGTGGTTCCTGGTTACCCATAGTGTCAGGCTCCATGTGCTGCCACAGCAGCTTTCCTATATCCTGAGTGTGAGCATTTCTGTGTGGGTTCCTGGAGGGAGAATTTTTCAGAACAGCAGGAATGTTCTGCTATTCTGCCAGGCCCAATCCAGATCTTGCTCCAGTTTTCCAGCCTTGATTTCCTTCAGGGCAGGGCACATTCAATCCCAATTCTGCCACCAGTTCACTGTGTTCCACTCCATTCTCAGCTTGAGGGGGTGGCACTCAGCTTCCCTCAATCTGGAAATGTCTCTCCTGAGGCCCCTCTGGCGCTGGCAGCATGGCAGGGCCCTGATGCATACCTGTTACTCAAAGCAAACTTGCTACCATGTTTTCCCCAAAATAAGACCTACCCCCAAAATAAGCCCTAGCAGGATTTCTATGCATTTGTTAAATATAAGCCCTACCCCATACTAAGACCTAGTGATGGGCGTGGTTATGCAGCGTATCTGTGCATTTCAGCACAGAGTGGTAAGGAAGACTGGAATACCTTTTATCTGCCACAGCTCCTTTCTCTGAGCCGTTTGCACTTGTGCGGGTGTGCATGTGGTAACCGCAGTCACAGGCATCCTATTGTGCATGTGCAACCAGCTAGGGGAAAAGAGTTCACGCATCACTAGCGCCAGCCCCACCAACAAGGTCAGCTCCCCCTGTCAGGTTCCAGAAGAAGATGATATAACCATTTGAATAAATGTAAGTTATTGTATTATACTTAATAAAAATAAGACATCCCCTGAAAATAAGCCCTAGTGTGTCTTCTTGAGAAAAAATAAATATAAGACAGTGTCTTATTTTTGGGGAAACACAGTACAGCCCCTACCACCACCACTTTCCTCCAGCCTCAGGGTGTGCTCAGGGCAGGGAGAAAAGTTCAAGCTAGGGCAGCACCTGTAGCTCAGTTGGTAGGGAGCCGGCCATATACACCAAGGCTGGTGGGTTTGAACCCAGCCCAGGTCTGCTAAACAACAATGACAACTGCAACAAAAAAAATAGCTGGCTATTGTGGTGGCCGCCTTTAGTCCCAGCTACTTGGGAGGCTGAGACAAAAGAATTGCTTAAGCCCAACAGTTTGAGGTTGCCGTGAGCTGTGATGCTACAGTGCTCTATTGAGGGCAAGAAAGTGAGGCTCTTTCTCAAAAAAAAGAAAAGAAAAGGTCAAGCTGGGGACTGAATCTACTTGCCACCCCATCTCCCTTACTCCTCTAAATTTGTTTGAAGCCCTAGTTTCAGCCAGACAGAGGCATCTTCAGATAAAGAAAGGTTGTCTTGTTTGCACAAGTTGTTATATTTACTTATGGGGAGCCTTGGAGGTGGGGTTCTGTGGAGATGGGTCGGTAGGTTACTGCTGCCAGCTCACGAGGTGTCACTGGGTGGGTGTGTGCCTGTTAAAGGTTAGTGGGCAGGGAACTGCCCAGCTTCCAGCTTCTAGCCTCCAGTTTCCTGTGTGAGATCTAAGGCTTTTCCAGGCCTAGGCTCAGCTCGGGATGTATAAGCAAGTGGCTCCAGGGACAGCCGGCTGGGCGGAGCCAAAACCAGTTTGGCAGAGCAGAACCTGGCTCTGGCCAGGATCCCAGTCTGCCCCATCCCAGGGGACAGCAGGGACCCAGCAAGGCACAGGCCTGGGGCAGGGCCCTCTCCTCCTCCCAGTCCAATCCTGGCTGACAGATGCCAAGGTGCTGTTTGCTCACTGCCAGGAGTAAACTTTCTTCTGAAGATAGTAAAATTGCTGAGGACAGAGGCAGCAGTACAAAGCAGCACTTAACCCTTAGTGGTCTGGGTGGTGCTGGCTCCCCCTCCTGCTTCCTGGAAGGCAAGCCTCGGAGGGGAAGGGTTACAAAGGCCAAGGGTGCTGACCAGTCAAGAAGAGGGAGATATGGAGGGGCACAGAGACTCCTGTCCTTGTGGAGATGCATGTGTGTGTTAAGCTCTTAGTTCTGCTATTAATCAGCTGTGCGACTGTGAGTCTCAATTTCATCATCTGGAAAACGGGGGAGTAACACCTACCTCATAGTTTTGTTGGGAAGGTCAGTGACAAGAAAGCAATGGAAGCACCTACCACAGCATAGGCCCTCAGAACACATGACTGAATGAACAACTGTGAAGGAAGTATGAGGAAGCTGAGCGAGTTGCTTTGCCTGGTAGAGTGGGCCAGGTCTCCCTCTGCATCCGCACAAGCGCTGATATACACCCTCTCCCCATTACAGCCCGCTCACCAGAGCTCCAGGCTTCACAGGTGGTACTCCGGGGTCTTCATGAAAAAGAAACTAACCTCTCTCCCACCCAAGGGGACTGAAGTGTCCACCCTCTCCCATGCCCTACAGTATAGTCTAGCTCCTTTTAGTTGGCTGACCTGAGACAAGGGCTCTGGTCTCCTGGCCCACACATGCACAAAGCCCTGCTCCACAGCAGATCAAGAGTATGCAGAGGGCACCTTCTCTCTCCAGTCCCATGTGTAGACCCTCCTCAGTCCCAGCCCTTCCTCCCTCCTCTCAGTCAAACCAGGGTAGGGAAGATGAGGTGGTTATTCTAGCCCCTCCTGGGCTTTGAGGACTCACTGCCTCTCTCCCACAGCTTCTGCTGATTACTCCTTTCCTTTTATGCTCAGCTCAATGCCACCTCCTTCAGGAAGCCTCCCTTGACCAGCCCAGGCTCATGTGACCACAATCACTCTTGATCACTGATGGCCTCCAGGCTGTGCCATTCATTGCACAGACATTGGGGATGAGTCAGTTCTCTAATATCTTTATTACCCATACCTGAGGGCACACCTGGCTCCCCAACTCACTAGTGCAGATGTCTCCTGGTACCATGCCAGGCATGGTACACAATAGGAGGCAGGGGGATGTAGCAAAGAGTGGCCTTGCAAGTCACTGCCATTCTGTAGGCTCTGCTCTGAAAATTCCAGGGTCACAGGCCTTTGGAAGGAGGTCCTTCCCTGGAGAGTGGTGAACACCAAGAATGGCCCTGTCTCCCTCCACCCTCCAAAAGACTGGACATGTGAGTAGTCAGGCCTGAGGAGGAAGCACTCCACCCTAGGGTCCCTGAGCCCCAGAGAGCCCACTTAAACCCCTGGGAGCAGTGGCCTCCCCCTCACTGACCTTGGACTTGGGAATGCCAGCAGACTACCCATTATCCCCCAGCTCAGGGTCCAGCCCAGGCAGGGGCAGGCAGGCCAGAGGCCTGGGGACAGCAGGTTCCAGGCCTTGGGCCTGGCCCACAGCCTCAGATGGGGTGCACAAACTGGTAGACAAGGCGCTGGGAGATGTCTGGCTTCCGGATGATGCCCTTCTTGTAATACTGGCGGATGGAGCGGCTCAGCTTGTCGTAGTTCATGGCAGGACGGTTCTTGCGGATGCCCCACAGCCGAGCTACCTGGGCAGAGTCTTCAATTTTGAAGATGCCTGGGGGAGCAGGAAGGCCCAGGGAGAGCCAGTGGTACAAGTGGGAGCAGCAAGAAGGAGAAAGACCCAGGTCACCAGGTTAGTCTCGTGGAGAACCAAGTGAACCAGTGCCAAGACCTCTCTCTGCTCAGGCAGGCGCCAGGCTGTGAGGACCATAATACCTACTCCCATGGTTGTGGTGAGGGTTATAGAAATTTGTTGCAAAGCATGTGCCACAGATCCCCCTAAATGGTAGAGAATACTTTGGAGTCACAAACCTTCTGGTGAGCCTGGGTACTTTAGTGGGTTCCCAGGGGTTCTGTGGGCTCTTGCCAGCCCTGTTCTTGCTATGGGGTTTGCATGCCTTAACCCAAAGCCCTGTGCAGCCCAAAGCCTCACACAGCTCACAGCAGTGTCCGCAACTCATTTGACAAGATCACCCCTCACACCCACCACCTGTGTCCTCGTAGTTCCAAGCCTGAAATGACCTTTTTGCCATTCCCAGACATTTCAGCCCACGCAGCTCTTTCTGGCATGATTAATAAAGATGAGGTGGTGGAAGGAGAATGGATTTGGAGCCAGGCCAACTGGAATGAGTTCTGGCTCTGCCACTTGCTACCTTTAGAACCTGTCTGAGGTTCCTTTTTCTGTCTGTGAGAGGGGATTATAGTGACCACCACGGGTTGTTGAGTTGTTACAGAGAATGATGTTTAGAGTGGAGCCTGAGAAAGTGCCCCTTGGGACTAGCTATTACACTGATAATACCTTCCGTTCACATTCTAAACCTTCCTGCCAAGGCATAGGCCAGCATGCCCCCTCCAGACCACATGCCCTCCTTGATCTCCCTTTCCTAGAACTCCATCATCAGACTGTTTCTACACACTGGCTCACTCTGTCTCAAATGCACACTGGGCTACTGCACCTTATGCAGGAACATTTCCTCGCTCACCCCCAACTGTCTAATCCTCCTCCACAGACTCCTTCTGATCCCCTCCTTCCTACCCTTATCACCCCCATCACACCAGCTCATTTCATTACTATTTGTCCTACATGCTGGAGGTCCCTCAAGGCTGGAGTGTTGCTGAGCCCTCCCCAGACCTTTAGAACACCATAATTCTCGGTACAGTTGGTAGAGTGAGTGTGGGACCAAAGCGGTGTTCAATGAAGGTCTGTTGGGTGAGTAAATCTAGTCCACTTTATAGCTAAGAAGACTGTAGGCCAAGCACTGTGGCTCATGCCTATAATCCCTGCACTTGGAGGATGAGGCAGGTGGATTGCCTAAGCCCTGTTCGAGGTTCAAGACCAGCCTGAGCAAGAGTGAGACCCTGTCTCTAAAAATAGCCAGGTGTTGTGCCAGGCACCTGCAGCCCCGACTACTTGGGAGGCAAGAGAATCACTTGAGCCCAAGAGTTTGAGGTTGCTGTGAGCTAAGATGCCATAGCACTCTACCGAGGGTGACCAATTGAGACTCTGTCTTAAAAAAAAAGAAGACTGCACTCCAGGTGCCTACAACTACTATGACAGGATAGGGCCTAGGATCCAGGTTTTTTGGCCTTTCAGCCCTTCTACACACACACACACACATATACATACCCAAGCCCTGTCTGTCCAATACAGTAGCCACCAGCCATACGTGACTCTTAAAATGTGGCTTAGTCTGAATGGAGATATGTTAGAAGTATAAATTACACACTAGGTTTCTAAGACTTATTAAAAAAATAATTTATAATTATAAAAATTAATTTTTCATATTATATGTTGAAATCATAATAATGTTATGTTAGATTAGATAAAATTAAATTTACCCATTTAAAAAAATTTTTTAATGTGACCACTAGACACTTTAATATCACATATGCAGCTTGTATTATCTTTCTGGTCGGACATGATTAGTCTTTCTAGTGAAGCTATAATGTTTTGAGGGCAAAGACTGCGTCCCACTCTCAGCAAGTAGTTTAAGCCCCTACTATGTTCCAGTCACTGTGTGGCACTAAGGATCCTAAATATGATAGAGGCCAGCTGGGAGACAGATTGAGAAACAAATTGCAGACAGACGGGGCAGTCCCAAGAGAGTGGCTTGTTTGGTCTTCAGGGCAAAGGTGAGCAGCTTCACCTCTCTACCGAGCCCCCACCCTCTCCTCCCTAGCAGGGGCCCCCACTACCACAGTGCCCCTCAACCGCCACTGCCCAGCAGGGCAGCCTGCTCACCCTTCTCCTTGTTGAGCCACCTGATGAAGCGGCCGTAGCTGTGGGGCTTGAGCAGCAGCTCCTTGAGGAACTGCCACAGGTGGATGGGCTGCCCGGAGCAGGATGAGTCCACCTCGTTGTCAGTCCAGCTCTCCTCACTGGTTGAGGCTGGGCAGCAGAGAAAGGGCAGTGAGTGGTGGTGAGCCACAGCCACCCCTCCACTTCAGAGGCAGCTCCCTGCCCCCCAGGGGTCCCCCACCCCAGCTCACCGCAGTAGTGCATCACCCCAGGTGAGGTCCGCTCTTTCATCCAGGCTGCTGCGGGGTAAGGAGAGGAACTTGGGGACCCAGGAGAGGTCCCAAGGGTGCAGAAGGGAGGGCATTTGGGTGGGACCATGGGGCCACAGGAGCCCCTATGTGGCTGGGGTTTTCCCCTATGGTTCCCTGCTTCCTGGCAATCTGGGAAGGCAAGCTGTGTACAAGCAGCTACTTCCTGGAAAAAAATGCAGGATTTCAGAGCTAGAAGGGGCTGCAGAGGCTCTGTGTGAACCCTCTGTTGTGCAGGGGCAGGACATCAGACATCAAGGCTTTCTTTTTTCTTTTTTTTTGAGACAGTTTCACTATGTTGCTCTCGTAGAGTGCTGTGTCATCCCAGGTCACAGTAACCTCCAACTCTTGGGCTTAAGCAATTCTCTTCCCTCAGTCTGAGACTACAGGCACCCGCCACAATGCCTGGCTTTTTTTTTTTTTTTTTTTTTCTGTAGTTGTTGTTTGGCAGGGCCAGGCTGTGTTTGAATCTGCCAGCTCCGGTGTATGTGGCTGGTACCCTAGCCACTGAGCTACAGGCACTGAGTCCCTCAAGTCTTTCTGTTCCTCCCTTTCCTCACCTGTAAAGTGGGGCCAGGACACCCCTGTTCAAAGTGGCAAAATCTACACAGCAACTCACTCAGTGCCTGGCATAATATAAACAGGCTCTCTGCCCTCCAGCTGCTTACCATGTTTCCCTGAAAATAAGGCCTACCCAAAAAATAAGCCCTAGCAGGATTTCTATGCATTTGTTAAATATAAGCCCTACCTTGATAATAAGACCTCTGCAGATATGCTGCATAGCCATACCATGCATTTCGGCAAGGAGCAGTAAGGAAGACTGGAATACCTCTCCTTTCTCTGAGCCATTCACACTCACGCAGGTGCGCATGTCGTAACTGTGGTCACAGGCATCCTATTGTGCACATGCGAAGGGCTTGGAGTTCACACATTACTAGCACCAGCCCCACCAACAAGGTCGGCTCCCCCATCAGGTTCCAGAAGAAGATGACTTAATTGTATTTAAATAAATGTAGATTGTTGTATTGTACTTAATAAAAATAAGACATCGGCTCAGTGCCTGTGGCTCAAGTGGCTAAGGTGCCAGCCACATACACCTAGGGTGGCGGGTTTGAATCCAGCACGGGCCTGCCAAACAACAATGACAGCTGCAACCAAAAAATGGTCTGGCATTGTGGCGGCTGCCTGTGGTCCCAGCTACTTGGGAAGCTGAGGCAGGAGACTCTTGAGTCCAGGAGTTGGAGGTTGCTGTGAGCTGTGATGCCATAGCACTCTACCAGGGGGACAGCTTGAGGCTCTGTCTCAAAAATAAATAAATAAATAAATAATAAAAATAATAAAAATAAGACATGCCCTGAAAATAAGCCCTAGTGTGTTTTCTTGAGAAAAAATAAATATAAGACAGTGTCTTATTTTGGGGGAAACATGGCAGTTCACCAAGCACTCCATCCTCTCTGACTCTCTACCTGGACCCTATCCACCTCTCCCACCCACACATTGACAGCGGAGGTGGAGGCAGCCAGCTTCCACCCATATAATACTGGTCTCCCCTTGGCCTGGCACTGACCACCCACTGGCAAGGGATCTGGGCTAGGCCAGGGCACTGGTCTCTGACTGTGTCAAGGGTCCCATTCCCTTATCCATTCAGGGCACTAAGGGCAAGGGCCTCAACTAACTTGCTGAGTAAGTAACACATCTGCCAAAGCACCCAGCTGAGTGTGGGGGCACCCAGCCTTTTGTGGAAGCACAGCAGTGCCCAATAGGGCAGCTGCATACAGGCTGATGAGTAGCAAGAGCCCAGGTACACTGCTGAGTATGAAACAGTGGGTACTCTGGTATATTTATGTTTTTTTTTTAAGGAATAAAAACCACACATGCACACATTTATATTTGCTTGAATCTGTGTAGACTTTCCCTGAAGAGATATCTAAGAAACTGGTCAGAGTAGTTGCCTCTGGTGAGGGGATTGGAAGCCGGGGTCAGGAGTGGGAGGAAGAAACTATTCATGGTACACTATTTTTCACTATGGTCTTTTTTTTTACATGCACATTTACGTTTTATTACTTCTTTAATGAAAAACAAAGCAAAACAAAATTTAAAAAGAAAAAAAGGACTTCCTAGTCCTTTGCCCTTAGCTCTGAAGTCCTGTGCCCTGGCAGTCTGACTACTACCTTTTAGCTCCCCATGTGCTCTGTCCTAAAGCTCTGTGGCCTTGACCAGGGCTGGGCGTGAGTTGGGGTTGGAGAGTTCACCAGAATCCAGGAGGCAGCTGCAATGAGATTTGGAACAGAGTCCAAGTTGGGGCCCAGGGGCTGCTTCCTCAGTGGAGGGCAACTTCCCAGCTGGCATACTGGCCTGACTATCCCCCTCAGTGTCTCTGGCTTGGAGCTGGAGGGGATGCTCCCGGTGCCATATCATACCTGATTTCCAGATGTCCAGGTGGGCATGCAGCACATCCCCGCCCAGGGGCGAGCGCTGGAGGAACTGCTCTTCTGACATGGCACATAGCTCCTTGCCCCCTAGCTCCTGGAAGGCCTTGCCCACAGGGGGCAGCCGGTACTGGTGCTCTGTCCACAGGAGCCACTTCTGAACATTGCCAGGACTCCAGTCCACAGGGTCTGAGCAAGAGACATCCCCTCAGCTCAGGGGAACTTCAGGGCACTACCCCAAATGTGGCCTACCCTGCTGTGATGGGCAACTTGTAGCCTGAGACCATTCTCTATTTAGAGTATTGATAGGCCTGGACCAAACATGGCCTTGAGGGGACTTGTGGAGACAAGAGGAGGGTGAAAGGGGAGGAGCCAGGACCCTAAAAACAACCTGGCTCAGGGCAGGGAAGCCTGGTGCATTTCTACTCCCCACCTTACCCAGGCCTCAGGTCCTCCCAGGCTCCTCCAGCCCTTCCAAAAGAACTTTCAGGGGGAACCCTAGCTCTGGAGAGCTCAGTGACATTAAGCCAGAAACACCTGAGCTTCTCCCAGGTACCTCTTGCCTTCCCCAACCCCTTGAGGAACCAAAGAAAAACCTAACCAGGAATTATTTTTACAACCCCAGCACTTGAGGAAAACAAGGCACAGAGCACTCTATCTCCTTGTCTTGCACCTAACAAAGGCCTGGTTGCATGGTAGCAGCTCAGTGCACATGTGCTGGATAAGTACATGTTATGATTATGGGTGGTTATGGGGCAGCTATAGGTTGCAGAGGCCAAGGGAGGGGAGCTGCTCTTGAGTGAGCCTGTCAGGGCACACAGGTGGGGGCCAGGCTGGTGGGTACCATCACAATGGGACCTCTAAGTGAACACTGTAGTCCAAACCAGTGCCCCAGCTGGATGACCTGCAGGATGGGCTGTCCGTATTTAATAAACTCATTTTTCTCTCTGAGGTCAAAGCAATTTTTTTCTGTCCCCATTGTTCAGCGAACTTGCCCTTCCCCAGCCAGTGTGGGGGAAGAGCCCTGTGGAGAAACTCCCAGGGTAGGGCTGGCATGGGCACTGGGAAATTGGAGGGCTGAGGCATCGGGAGGAGCTGCCTCCAGTGGGGACACCAACAAGGGATGAGGCGGTGGGGCAAGAGCTGGGCCTGAGGGATGCATGAGTACCCCTCCTCCCAGTGAAAGCTAGGATGCTTCAATGCCCTGGCCTAAAGCCTGAGGGAAATAGGCCAGACCTGCAAGCTAGAGAGATGATGGTAGGACAGAGGACTGGAGACCCACAGCCCCTCAGTATCAGCTCCAGAGCCACACCTCTCAGTGACACATTTATGTATTTATTTATGATCTATCTCCCTCCCTGTAATGTCAGCTCCATGAACACAGGGACTTTTGTGTTGTGCTCACCACTCAATTCTCAAGTTCTAGAATTGGGCCTGATATATTGAAAAGTGCTTATTGTTGAATCCACTCAATAACCACGTTCTGAGCATCTATTATGTTCAAAGAGCTTTTCTAGGGAAAGGGATGTAGTGGCAAACAAAAAAACATGAAAATTCTTGCCATTGTGGAGTGTACTTTCTAGTGAAGGAGACAGACAGCAGACTAGATATGTAAAATAAAATATGGGACATGTTGGGTGACAGTGAGTGCTGTGAGGGAAAGCAGGTAGAGGGAATAGGAGGTGGAGTTGTGGGCAGCAATTTCAATGGGGAGGTCAGGAAAGGTCTTCTTGACATAGTGCCATCTGGGTCTAGACCTGAAGGAGGTGAGATAAATAGATATTTGGGGAAAGAAGGACCCAAACTTTTGCACCTGGTGGTCTTCTCGGCTGAAGGTCCAGTAGGTGCAAAGGTTCTGTGCTGAGTGTCGAGGGAACAACAAAGAGGCTAGTGAGGCTGGAGCAGCTTGAATGAGGAAAGAGTGGAGAGGAGTCCAGCCAGATAGTGCAGAGCTCGTGTTCACATCATCCAGAACCTACCAAGTGGGGACAGTAGGCTGGCATGGTTGGGGTAAAGAGATGAGTCAAAATCTTCCCAGTCCAGGCTCAGAGCTGCTGTGGGTTATGGGCTTACTGTGTGTACAAAAGTAACAGCATCCCTGGGGGCTGGGCAGAGATGGCCAGAGTCCATCCAGCAGTGCTTCAACCCACCCTAGTGACCTCAGCCTTGTCTGTGGTCCCCTTATGGAGATCCCAGTGTGGGGACAGGAACTCACCTGCAGTGATGTTGAGCAGCTTGCAGGCTGTCTCGATGTCCTTGAGCACTTCACCCACCACCATGGACTGCACCTGCTCCAGTGAGTGCTCCTCCAGGGTCAGCCCACCTGGCACCAAGTCCAGGCTGCCCCCTGGGGCTTGGCTATCAATGACTGGGCACTGTTCAGGCTCCTCAGGTGTCTCCTCCTGAGTGCTGGCCCCAGGGTCCTTGGTAGCCCAGCTGCTATCCTCAGGGTACAGCATGTCAAAGTAGGAGAGGTAGAAGGCAGACAGGCCCTGCTCGGGTGTGGTAGGTGGGCTGGGGGTCCAGTCCTGCCTCTCGGTACCTACCACCCCTGCTGCTACCTTCTCCAAGCCTGTCCTTGATGCCGTGTTGGGGGGCAGCAGGAGGTGACTTGGGGGAACGCTGCTCAGGCCTGGGCTGGCGCTGCCCATGCCACTGCTGCTCGGACTGGCAGCTGTGTCTACAGAAATGAAAGAGGAAAGAGAGTCAGATCTGACTGCTTCCCTATCCCCACAGGGGCCGCTAAGCTGGTTACAGGGATGATGAGCCCAGTGGGCAGTGGGCTGGGCCTGGAAGAGTTGGGGGCTTCTGGGTCATTGGTCAGGGCTGGGCAGACAGGCTTCTCGGCTGAGAAAGAGAGTGAGGTGGTAGGACTGTAAATAGACAGAGTTCCCTCACCCCTCACCCCCAGTAAGCCTGAATGGCTAGAAGCAGTAAATTTTTATATAAGTAATGTGATCAAAGCAATTTTCTGAGGTTCTTGACCTCATTTAGTCCTCACAAAGAAGGCATGATTAGCCCTATTTGGCAGACGAGCAAACTGAGGCCTGGAAAAGAAGCCCTTAATGTCCAAATCCTTCCTGCTAACCTAACCTAAATCTTTCCTACTGTAACAAAGCTTATTTTCTTTTATTCTTCCCTTGACTGAGATAGGGGTATGTGGTGGGATAGAATATGCCTCACAAGTTGGGGAGTTGGCCAGCCCCTCTCCTCCCACAAGGCCATTTGGGGATGTGAATAGTCCCAAAGTGAGTTGGCCATTGAGTAACAACTCACAGGCATGCTGCCCCTCCAGGGCTGATTTCCTGGTACCTACTCACCTCACTCTCCCTTGAAAAGTGCTGTCCCTAGGGTCCCTCCCAGCTCCCAGGGCCCTCTCCTCTGCTCTTAAGCCCTGGAGGAATTTGCAGCTGCTAGAAGAGGTACTCCCATGCCAGTCCTTCCTGGGAACAGCAGGGGTGGTGAGAAGATGCAGATTCCAGGGAACAACTAAGACTCTCAGCAGGTCAGACACCTGCTCTCCACCGCTGCCCCAAAGCCCGCTAGAGTACCATCCGGCATCAGTACAAGCAGAGGTCTTACTTCTGTCCATCATACAGTCTCTGCTTTGCCCGGAGCCTTTTCTCTGAACCCAATATCAGAGTGAATAGTTTGGGAAAGGCAAGGGTCATGAGAGATGTCCATGCACCCAAACACTGGTGTTTCTGGGACAATTGGTGATTTGGGGTCCTGAGACTCAAGAACAAATCAAGACAGAGGTGGGAGGTTACCGGCAATACATACTCCAAATATAGGAAACAATTTAGAAAGCAGAGAAGGAGCAGATAAATCTGTTAAGGGCAGATAAACCTGTTAAGGGCAAGTTAATTTGTGTCCTTTCTCAAGGGTATTTGTATCTTAAAGCAGTACTCTCAAAATGTGGTGTCTAGACCAGTGGTGCCTAGATCAACCTGGAAACTTGTTGGAAATTCAAATTCTCAGGCCTGCTTCAGAGCTACCAAATCAGAAGCTCTGGGAGAGAGGAGGCCCAGCAGATTGTTTTGGTGATTTGGAATCACCATTTTGGGTGATTGTGATGCATGTTCTGATTGCAGAACTGCTGCTTTAAAGGCATCTGGCCAGTAGGAGAAGCTTCAATCAAAAGATTGGTTGCCTCTCTAATGGGTGACAGAACTCACTGTGCCACGCTGGGACAGTGAGAGTGAAAGGGGGTTCCCTGGCCTATCACCAGTCACTCTGTGGGACTGACCTCCTCAGCCTTAGCGTGCAGCTGCCACTTACCTCTGCAGGTGGGACAGGGGGAAAAACCCAGTTTGATACCTCTGGCTTCTCTAGGGGTAGCCCATTTGACACATTTGTGTGACTTAGAAAATGTCAACCCTTTCTCTCTGGATAGCATAGCTTGGTGAATGGAGCCCAGGCAGAATTTCAGTTCTCTCTGTCCATCCCCCTAGTGTAGTGCCCAGCTTTCCCAACCTTACATGGCAGCCCTGCAGTTTCCTGTGGTGAAGGGAATGCCAGCAAGAGAGGAGGGTGTTCCCTTTGATTTCAACTCTTCCTTTCAAGGGCTCCTTTAAGTGACAAGGAAGAAAAGGTCAGGGTGAGGTGGGGTGGGCAGAAACTGATGGGGGGGCTGTGGTTGCGGAGGATAGAGGGCAGGTCTGGAATCATTTCAAGTCCTTCTGTGCAAACACTAGTGTGTGCTGTGGGCCCACATTATTTACCTAGGCAGAGCCAACAGTTCGCTCTGCCCCTGTGTCCCCACCCTGGCCTGTGCCCACGCCCTACCCTATGGGTGACTCCACCCCTGGGGACCCCCCCTTGCTTCCCCACTCCTTTTTTCATCACCCCCTGCTTGGCTCCTGCCCCATCCACATCCCCAGAATCTCTATGCTTGCCACGTTAGGACAGTCTCTGCCAATACCCTAGGCCACTTGCCAGGGAGACAGAAGCTTTTCCAAGAAGCAAGAGAACTCATTTCCCTTGTGCCCCTCCTGTTTGCTTGGCCTTGGCCATAGGTAGGTTGGGAGGCAGCTGCTGTGTTTCAGGGCATGGTTGTGTGAGGGGTCGGTGGGGATGAATGGGCAGGGTGAACAGCAATGTTTGCCAGGTCGGGATGTAATGACACATTCTTGACACATTTGTTGAGTGAGCAGTGAAACCCTCATATCCATGCCCTCGCCAGGGGAAAGGCAGCATGGGCCATATTCTCATTGCTGATGGGAAGTCAAGGTGCAGAGAAGTAGGTGACCCGAATCCATGTCTTCTGACTTGTGGCCCCAAGGCTACCAGTAGAGAATTCCTGTTTCCCCCCTCTGCACCCCACATTTCAGCTTGCTCTCACCATATTCCTAAATGCTAAAGACCCTGCTCTCCACCGAGTCTTGGTCATAGCTCTGACACTTTCCTGGTGAAAAATAAGTTACTGATTAACTGTGCGGCAGGAGGAAAAGTCTGATTTTCCACAGGTAAGGGTGCTAGGGAATGCTCTGTCCCTCATGCAGCCAGGTCAGGGAGCTGGGGGCCAATGTGCTCAGCCTGCAACTCAGGCATCTCCTTCAGACTCCAGGTTGGACTCGGAAGGAAAGAAGAGGGAACTTCACAGTTGAGCCCCTCCCATGTGCCATGCCCAGGATGTTCACCTACATCACCCCATTTGCTACTCATAGCCTGAGTGATGAGTTAAGTTCCATTTTATAGATGCGGACAATGAAGGCTAGAGAAGTTATGCAGCTTGCCCAAAGTCATGCTCTGGCCATGTGTGGACTCTGCTCATTGGGCCACATTCCCTCTGTGATACTGCCCCCACCTGTCCCATCTTCCTGGGGGTTCTACCTACCTCCTAATTGGCTCTTTGATCCTCCAAGTCCATGCCTACCTCCTGGATGCTCATTCTCCCCACTATCAAGCTCATTTCCTACCAACATCCTTTAATCAGGTACCCCTGTGCTCAAGAACTTCCCATGGCTTCCCATTGCCTGTTCTGCCCCCATCCCAGTGGCTCATGTCTACCTCTGAGCTCACCACCTACCCAGCCCAGATAATCAGAGCTAAAAGGGGCAATATCTTATGTGATTGTCTTATAGATGGGAACAATGAGGCCCAGAGTAGGGAAGGGATTCAAACTCTGGTTAGTGGCAGGATATAGACCAGAACTAGGGATTGACATGGTGACCATGAGTCTAGGTTATAGTGAGAATAACATTTCACACTCGGCCTCTGTGCTATGTAATGGATGACATAGCCATTTTCTCTTACTGTCACCTGCTTAAAATGTCCCTTCCTTCTCATCAGAGGAAGCCCTCCCCAACAGCTCCTCTGACTCCCCAGTTTTCCTCTTCTGTGCCACGAGTCCATCCCATGGGTAAATCCACAGGTGACTGTCTGCCCAGGGGACACATGTGCACTGGGAAAGCTGAGGTTCAAGAGAGTCAGGGAGGTGACTACAGTCACACAGCAGAGCCAATGCCAGACTAGGCGCCTTCTAACACTCAGGCCACTGCTCCATAGGCCTAGGGTCCTGGGACAAGCCAGGTACCTTCCAGGTCCAGGTCTCTTGGATGGTAGACCCAGTCCTTGCCACAGTCTCTGCTGGCTGGCCCCAGAGGTGGCTGTCTCCTGAGCAATGCTTCCAGCTCCCAAACCTCGAGTTGATCTCTTCTGGATTAAGCCACGTATCTGGATTAAGCCTCAGCATGTCCCAGCTCACTCCTGCCCCAGAAACCCTGGCTTCCACTTCAGACAAAGAAAGTTTGGTAACAGCTGGTGGAGGCCAAGAGCCAGAGACAGGACTAGATTGTTGGAGTGGCAGCCAGAAGGATTAGCCACCTCTTCTCTTAGCACCTCCCATTCCCCCAGGAAGGCAGATTAAGGAAAAAGGGCAGAGTTAAAAGTTAAAAGATATTTAGCTCAGTTTTCTCTGTCACTGTCCTGCTTGCTCTCACCCCTTGCAGCCAGGAATATGCTTCTGTACCCCCTTGCCTCCCAGGCTCTCCTCTCCTGTCCACCAACTGGCACTAGTGAAAGAATTCCTAATAGCTCCTGAAACCACAGTTTCAGGGAATGGAGTCACCTAGGAGTTTACTAAGGCTTGGGCTGTTGCCGGGGGCTACAGCCTGTTTTCCACAACCCACTTGGTTCTGGCTCCCAGGTCCTACATCCTGGGGGGATGGTGACTTGGGTAATTGTGCCCTAGCCCACACCTCAATCCTGAGAGTCAACCAACCCCAGTCTTCCCATATCCCAGGACCCCGCTTCAGGCCCCACTGAGAAGTGCTGAGAGGGTGATAGAGAGAGCTACTCTGGCCAAGCTGCTCAGCCCCTAGCTAGCCTCACTCTAGAAGCTCTGACTGACTTCCCCACTGCAACCCACTGTACTGACCAGCAGCCCCTCGCTCGTCCATCCAAGTCCCTGGGCTCCCTTTAAGGAGCTGGAGTCAGGAACTACATTAGTGGGATGAGGACCAGGCCAGGAACCATACAGAGTGGGCAGAGACCACACTGGCCTGTCCCCAGTCATCTGGTCAGCACCCTGGAGAGGAACGGGGCTATCTAGACCACAGGGAGTCCCAGGCCAATGGCCCATGACCTGGCCACACAGCAGCATGCCTGGCTTCAAAGAATTCCTGACCTTCTCAGGCCCTGGCTTTCCCTCTTGCTGGTGTTCCTCCTACCTCTTCT